AAGCTAGACGGGTAAGCGGGAGAGGTAAACACAAATGCAACATCCTAAAGGTTAGGGCATCCCATATGAGATTTTATATTCTTTATCTTATTTGTCATAGTAAAATTTTAAAATTAGGGACCGCAAAAAGAGAGTTATCTTATTGGTTATAATGCTTTAAAATGTTTTTTCTCTACCAATGTTTACACAACACGAAATTTTGTGAAATTGTCCAAAGGACATTTATTCAAATTTTAGTAGCAGGTGCTTATAAGGAGGTCGTGAGAGTATTAGTTGGGTTATACTTGCTGCTTGTTTATTATGGAGCCAAGTAAAATCATAGTTTATAACTTGATGTGATAATTTAAAATAAATATATTTTTTTAAAAATAACAGTGTTTTTAGTGGTACTTACGTATTTTTTAGACGAATAAGGACAGAACACAGTAAATAAACAAAATGCAGTGGAATGTCTTATCAAAATGGAATGAATTTTTAAGGACCTCGTTAATGGTAATAAATATTGTTAACTCGATTAACATAGCAAAAATATTATGGTACACAAATCATGTTCCGATAATTATTGATCCCTCTATTTTACAAAAATTACAATCTCTACGAAATTACTCCCCGTGAGGATTTTTTCCTTCATTCCTTTAGTGTTAAACCAATGAAATAGGAATGGTCTTCGGTTGTAGCTATTAAAAAATTATCATAATTGCTTATTTGTTGGCACAATCGTAATTGTTATCACCGATTCAACGGTCATCTATCATTTTTCTTCTTAGGGGGATAATGTTTGTGTCTATCTGCATAGCTACAAACAATCTATTATGTTGCTAATATCTCAATTTTCCTCTCTATTTGATATTTTGAATTACATTGTTGGGGGGATGCAACGGGACCTCTTAACTTGTTAGTGCTCTCTAATGAGTTGTTGAGCTTAAGGTCAATAATTTGAAGTTGTTTTAAGTCTGGTCGTTATTTTTTTTGTTTTTTTTTACCTTCTTTCAACTTTTTAATATGTCAAGGGGGTGGCAGGTCAATTGTCTAGTATTTGTGATAGAGTGGGTCACAAAAGTGCTCGGACCAAGAAAGAGGACGAAAAATCTAACTTGTTATTTAAGATGGAGTTAAATCTACTGTTAGAGTTTGAATCATCTTCAATTTTATTGCACACATTTCAAGTTTGTCGTCTAATTGTCATATGAAAGGCGCAAATGCAAATTTCCACCAACCTAGTTGACTACCATGTTCCCCTTAACACAATGCACACTCATTTTAGTTGTACCAAATGAGAAATATAGCTTGTATACATTAAGCACGAGGGAGTGTTATATTTAGGGGAGGATAGTAGCTACCATATGTGGGGGTCATGCTCACCACGTGGCTTGCTTGCCTTGCAGTACATACGAAGGTGTGTGTCTTTCTTTGATCTTATTTTATAAAGATAATATTTTAACTCAACTCATGATGTTGGTCCCCCCTTGGCGTTATTTGTGTATGTTATATTTGAATGGGTCTCCACTATAATGTTTCTACACGGTGTGTGGTATGTGAGTCACATGCTATGTCCTAACATTCTCTTCGAACGATTGGGAGACACCTTGTTTCTTCTTTTTGTTTTTGTTTTTGTTTTACACACAAATTAGGTAATTTGTGGTTTACAGATTGGTTCCGATAAGGGTTTCGGGTCTTCCTTCAGATGATACATCGCCTCTGGTTAACTTATTCTATATAAAATATGTTCGCGTGAGTAATGATCTTCTATACCATTTTTCGCTTCAGGAATAGTTTGGTTGTAACTCGTTGTTCGCTTTAGTGGCGATCTTTTATATCATTTTTTGTTTAAGGAATAGTTTGATAATAACTTGTCCATTCTTCGCTCAAAAGTCGTGTTTAACCACGAGTACTTTCGAAAGCGGTTGCGGTATGCCAACCGCGACAATCATGAACGAACGGGTTTCTATAGGAGTACCCAAATTCATTTGATTATAAACGTTTTTACTCGATATATGAGAATGATATTGATCATTTAAATAATAAAATAAGTTGTAATATTTGACTGGTTGTTGTCAATTTTAATCCTAATGAAAAGGAGATGTATCTGTAGGTTTCATTAATGACTTGTAGGTAACTATGTGTAAATGGTTTTTGTAAGGACAATAGTTAGGTAGTGCCCTCCTGTTGGGAAGGCCTTGGTCCCAAGCTGCTTTGGTGACCCCTCAACTCATCTCTTGCTACGAGGTAAACGACAAGAAAAGTGATGAGTTGTAGTGGTTGTAGTTGCTATTGTTTTTTTTCTTATCTATGGCACTTGGGGGTTATCCGTCTTTACTTCCGGTAGGTGCATTGTTGTGACATTAGTCCACTGAAGTCTATTTCCTAATATTCATGGTCTGATACGTTCACATTGGAAATCTTAGTGTATATAATTTTATGTGATTGAAGTAGTGCGGATGCTATTACTCTAGACTAGGTATCTTTTCCAAATAGAAAGTAGGGTCATTATATTTTATTTTCACAAAACTTTTTAGGTCATTGAAAATCTTAGTTTCTTTTCCAAATAGAAAGTAGGATTCTATTAGTTGACGCCCAGGGGGATGGGGAGGGGGAAGAAGGGTAACTTTCATATTTCTCTTAAAGGTTGAGTCAGATTTTGTGTTTTGAAAACATGCTACATAAGGCAAATTCCGTTTGATCATGCCCCAAACTAGGGTGATCCTTTCAGGTCGTACTCAAGGGACTTTTTGTGCAGTATCTTTCCGTGATTATGGCCAAAGGTGGATGTATAAGAGCGCAGTTGCGTCCATAATCCAGTCGAAAAAATGTCGTAGTACAGGTATGTCCTTAGAGTTGCAACTGCACTATGGATAATTGATGCAAACAAGCCAGAAACAGAGTGTGATGACCCGACCCGATATTCTTTGCTTTTAAATACATTTTATACTTTTTTTTTTTTTTTAGTCGTGAATAGCTCATGGAAAGGGGTTGGGAAAACCCCACAAACATCTCGAAAATAAAAGGTATTAAGGCCATTACTCATCTTTGACTGTTGGAAACCGGGTTCGTGTGCCATGAACCTAGACCACCAGTATCTTTCCCTACCGAAAAAACAAAGTCGCAGCTCGTTAACGACCGCATTTTTTTAGGGTCCGATGGTGGGTCAAAATTGTTGGCGGTGCCTGCTAAAAGGAGGTTCGTGTTGCATCGTTTTTTTTTTGCATCCAGGGCGAATGGAATTCAAGCTCGGGATGAATACTTGGGTAGAGTACTGGTGGTAGCTGATATATATATATATATATATATATATATATATATATATATATAAAAAGGCTCAGCCATCCGGGAATAGACATTGCCTGCCGTCCTATTCTGTTTTAGCTCGTTGAGTTAATCTGCTTCTTTGTCCCCACTGTGGAGTTTAACCAAGGAAAGCATTGCACTTTCCTGCTAATACTAAACTTTGCTAAGATTGCGTCCCTTCCCCATGTTTCTAAGAACCATTGTCTAGATTTCCTTTCCCCTCGAGTCCACTCTGCAAAAGTTGTGTATCTGTTTTGTTGTTGTACTTTATTATGTTACCAAACGTACCTTTACGGGGCCTTTCCGTACATGTCGTACGAGTTTTTTTCGTACGGGGACTTGTATAGGTAAATTTCCGTATAGGTTTTCCTTTTTTGGTTTTTGAGGGTTTGCCGATCGGTTCAAGGCGCCTCAGGGTTAATTTTCATATAAGGTCGGGGCAGGGCGGGGTTTTGCATGGGCGAGGAGGCTGTGGGAGGCCCAACCAAGATTCGAATTGGAATCGTGCTTGGAATTGTCCCTGGCGAAGCTCGACTCCCACCTCCCACTGCAGTCGTTGGACGCCGGCTGTCAAGCGCATCAGCTCCCGTTTTTTTTCACGAAAGGCGAGTGCCCTCCCGGGCTCGTCACCGAGAGACAACTTGGGGACGAGTTCCTCCACACCCGATCCCACCCGATCCCACCATCTCCATGTGAACTGTGTAATAGGACAATGCATGAAGATATGCTCCATTGTTTCGGCCTTCTTTTGGGCTGGAAAGTGCCTAAGACATCGTTGACACCAGGGCAGTGCAAGCCCTTTCTGTTCCAGATTGGTGTGGTCTACCAACCAGTCATTTGTTGGCAAACAACGGTGTGCTATTTGCCACTGTAGCGAGGTGACCTTAGCTGGTTTAGATTTCCGGTCTTGGAACCACTTTATTGGTGTGAGTTGACCACCATCCACATTGAGATGCTTGGCCCATCGTTCAATAATCACGTCCCTTAGGTTATGCTTAGGCCTCAGCATTCGATTCGTAGCACGGTCCTCAGTAAGACCTAAATTGGAAATGACATTGCACAGTCATGGTTCCTCTCCTTTTCCTTTTTTTTCCGCCCCCTCTGATCTTCGTAATCTACGGTTGGAGATAAAGAGTCCGCATCAGTGGGACTACCCCCGTTTATGGGTGTCATCGAGGCAATGCCTCTTGAGTAGTACCCAATATAGTACCCAATACCTGTCCACTTGAGACCGGGCCCCGCAGGACAACGTTTGGGGGTATCGCAGGGCTTTTCTCTCTCTCTCTCTCTCTCTCTCTCTCTCTCTCTCTCTCTCTCTCTCTCTTTTGAAATAACGTTAAAAGTAGTGGTATTTCACTTGCGCCGTAAAGCTCCCGCTAACGCAAAGACCGAGCATTTTGCCAGTAGCTGCGCCTACCTTTCTCATCGTCCCCTTAGCCAATCCCCACAGTGTAGTTTTTTGGGAAAAAAAACGAAGTAAGGCTCCTGCTTATTCTACACCTCTCAAGTCATTTCACCGAACCGAACTAGAGTCAAGCTCACGAGGGTCTTTTTCGTTTTTGGGAGGGGCATTTCTCGATTTGTGCATGTCATAATGCCTTGCGCACGGGCGACGCGTATCTTCTCGTCTATGCATTGTTCCATTTCCAAGGGGTGATGTTGTGGTGGGGCGTTGGCTAACCGTGGAGTCTCATGAAGCGGCACCCGATCTAATTCTGCCGTGCCCCTTGACTTGGTCGTCCGCGGTCATCATCCCTTGATTGACAGATTGGCAGACTCCCCACAGCCAGCAAGTCGCGGGCGGCAAGTCCACGTCCTGGTGAGTTCGAACCCATCCCTACCCCTCTTCTGTGTTATGTTCCGCTCGTTTGTCCGCCTCATCCCCACTTCATTCGTCTGTTCCATCCTCCTCCTCCTCCTCCTTTCACATCCTCCTCCTCCTCCTTTCAAATCCTCCTCCTCCTCCTCCTCCTCCTGCTTCTCCTCCTCCATCTGTTTCTCCTCCCTCGCCTGCTTTTCTTCTCCTTCCTCGTTTCGTCATTCATTTTCGTTTGCTCTTAGTTCCCCTTTCACCGTCTTCCGTCCTACGTGTCAGTTCTGTGGCGGAGGCATTATGACGACGTGTATCGTGAGTCATGGTAGTGGTGATGCCCGGGGAGTAGCAGCAGGACCAGATGAAGGGAGAGGGGCATGTTGGGGTGTGATAGGGAGAGGAGGAGGAGGAGGAGGGCAAAGAGGAGGAGGAGGAGGAGGAGGAGGGGAAAGAGGATGAGGAGGAGGAGGAGGAGGAGGGGAAAGAGGATGAGGAGGAGGAGGAAGAGGAGGAGGGTAAAGAGGAGGAGGAGAAATCGCAAGTGAAAAAATCACAAGCGAGTGG